GTCAAGGACACTATGAGTTAGAGAATGGCTAGGTATCACTATCCCTCGATCGAGGGGCATAAGGGTACTATGTGTCGCAACCCCTTGTTGATCAGGATGTATGGATGGGAGACAAGCATGTCTAACTACCCTCGATGATATATCACCTGTTTCCTTTAGAAAGGAAACCACTTGGTGAGGTGATTGTGTGACACAAGATGCTGCATTACTTCGATTGGTATGGCAAGGTCCAGTATTCCATGGAGGCATATGGACCAAGGTCTCCGAAGTGGAAGGTCTCACATCCCAAAAGGGTTCATTGGTATAATTTGGTAAGGAGAAACTCAACTTATGAATAAACAAAGGATTGAAGTTTATCATTGAAGTATTTTCTTATTTATCGAAAGAAACAAGATATTCCAGTTCTGATGATTTGTTTATAAACTTGCAACAGGGAATTATGCAAATACATAAATGTCAAAGCAAGCTTTATACCTTTTTTATTGAGTTGAAAATAAAAATGGAGGAAATGATGTCCTCAACATTGGAGCTGGGCTTGTTATTGTTCCTAGAACATAGGGACTTAACCCATACCATTTAGTTAATATTTGCAAGTAAAAGTGTCTACCACCATCGGTAGAACATGAGGTAGCTTTTGAATTTCCTCAAAGAACAAAGGGGAAAAACATTGAGAATTATTAAACGCTGTGGAAAGACTGACCACATTCATAATTTCTCCATCACAACTGCTTCTGGTGTCTATACAGCATGGCATCCATGAAAGGGATGACATATAGGAACATATACCTTCTGCACATAAACATGTGACAGAGTGGTGTGCAAAAGGTCAGAGTCATACAGATGTTTTCTCCACTCTGGGAGGATGTATTCACATCATATGAAAAGTGTATTTTCAGCATGAAAATAGATTAGTGACTGCTACTATTAAAATGTGATGTGATGTTTAATGATGGAAGTTTATCTTTACTGCTATAAAAACGAATACAATATCTTAGCAAGAACTTTTAATGGAACCAAAAAGAAATAAACATTTGTTTGAAGAAGCAACATTTAATTGGATCTTTTTTTTATTGTATTTTGATTTTGAATAAAGACTTACACATCACCTGGTCAAAAATTAGCTAACACAACCTCATTCTGCACATAACTTAAGTGTATAAGCAAGAAATCTGAATGGCTCAAATCAGAGTCTGACTTAAAATAAACATTCAAATCTATGTCGAGATGTATTTACAAATTCCAGGTATTATTCTTTTGATTCTTCAAATTTATTTACATTGACATATATTTACTGTTATCAGATAGCTAAATGTGTTTGTAAAGCATAATCATTTGTTTATAAATAAAATGTCCCTTGTATGTGTGTTCATAATACAGAAGTCAAAGATGCTCATGTGTATGTGTATTTACTATATATACTGCAAGTTTCGTCATATACTTTTTATTTGATATTACTTATAAAATATAATAGCAGTTAAACAATACCCTAAAGAAAAGCATTTATCATTTTCTACCTAAACTTTGCAGAATACTACACAGAAGCTATGTGTGTTTGTGGTGATTTTAATTTTTAATGTAGATTTAACAATTTTACTTAAAAATTATATATATATATACAAAAGTGGAAGCTTTCCCCTAGTCGTAGTATTATGTATGCATGCCAATTCCCCTCCACCACCACCCTGAGGTTAATGCAAAATTATTCCTATTATCAGTGGCAAAAATGTTTAATTTGGGCATATAAAGTGTAATCAATATACTATATGCCAGAATTGCAATTTACAAGAAGAATGATTAAGATACTTTGTTACAACTAACCTGGTTCTGCAGCTGGTCAAAATTCTTGTTATTAAATGGCAAAATCCATATGGATTAGAATGAGAATATAAATACAAAATATACTGAAAAAGTATTTATATTCAGGACTCACTTTAACTAGTCTACATGTTTATCTTTCACTGAATGATCGTGATCTGGAATTTTGTAATGATAATAGTCTGGTGCTCAGAGTGCTGAAATACATTTTTTTATATTCTTCTTATAAATTTTCTAAAGCAGTTGTGATTTGTTTTTTCCCCCGATTTGATATGTTTTCATGTTTCAAAAGATCCATCTGCTCTAAAATTTTCAAATAAATAACATTCATAACTCACACTGTAAAGCATTACCCTTTACACATGGTGCCATTATCTTGACCAGTTGTTACATGAAGGCTTGTTCAAAAGTAACAAAGAAAAGAGTGAAGCCATAAAGCTTTGTAAAATTTAACAAAAATAATTTATTTCCCTAAAAAGCAAGGTAAAAATATAAAAAAAAGGAAATACAGCTTGTGAATATAATCCAAACATTATTCTTGGAATCTAAAACTGTAAGTCCTATCAACAAAAACTCCTAAATGAATCCAAATTCGAATCCCCGTGAAGTTCCAATATGGAGGACGATGACATCAGATGAAACTGTAGTGTGTAGTTGTGTCAACAAGTTCCTTATTGAATTTTATGAATCAAAAATAATATTCCGGCTTTAGAATTCTTTAGAATTTCCATTAAATGTCTTTGTCCAAGAATTTGATAAAATATAAATATTTTCCAGGGTGAATAAATTATTTTAAATACCAAAAGATAACGAGAAGACAAATTACCTTGAGCCCAAAGGAATATTTTTGTGATACATAGTAGATTATTTAAGCTGAAAAGCTAAAAGCGTATAACCAACCAATCAAATCCACCCCTACCCCCAAACCAGCAATTCTGTATTTAGCGATATTTCTCTACATAACCATACCAAATGTGTTATGTTACGTTACGATTCATTCAAGTGTATCGCCTGATCTCACCAATAAAAAAAAAAAAAAAAAAAGACGCGCACACCTTTGTATTGGAAATTACTTTAGATGTTCCGAGTGGCTCCTCGATCATTCGGAACATAATAGTCGTTTCTATATTCGAGTCCAATAACTTTATTTTTCCTGGGCTGGTTGCCAGTATTTGCTTCACATCTGTTCTCTTATATTTAGTATGTATATTATATGCGCATTTATTTACGAATACGTTGACTGCATCCTATCTATTATATACTATTGTAGACAAACAAGCAGGTCTCCGCTTTTTTCTTCCTTTTTTTCAGACATTTCTAGTAGCGGAGACTAACGCTGTATGGCCGTATTCCATACTTTAGTTTTACGCTGTTTCTGCCTCCCATAACTTATAACTATTGGAAACTAACTAGCAATCAATAAATTTATTTCGACTGACCTTGCATGCAGATATTAAGTAAAATCCCTTTCCTTTTGACCCATTGCATTAAATTTTTCGGAACACGTAATGGTTTAGTACTAATCCATGTTAGAACAGAACACCGCTACCAGTAATGTCAGCAGAAGAAAAAAAGCGGATACCTACTTGTTGGTAGATTTAAATCTAATCAAAAACAACGTAAGTCGGTTTGGGTGTGTTTCACTTTGACGTTTGTAGCGTATTATAATAAAAGTAATATTAAATTAAATAAAACTGCTGTTTAAAATTAATAATAATTTTGTTTAACCTCGGTGTATTTCAGTCACGACTTTCGAGTGGTCTGCATCTTAAATGTCATATTTTAATTATTGTTCACAGTAATGATCCTCTCCTTTTTTCAAAAAAATAAACAAAGCTCCGATGCCTTAAAGGAAGTTACTGAGAGAGAAAAATTAAAGATGTTAATAATTTCATTTCTGCCAATAAAGTCACTGGGTCTTATGGAGTAAGTCGTAGAACGCGTTATTGAAAACAATACCAGCACCACTAGCTGTGCTTTTTAATCGATCAATGAAGGAAGAAAAAGAACATTTCCAAAACATGGAACCTTGCGCACATTCTTCCCATTCCTAAACTGAATGATCCACACGAGATTGTCAATCTTAGACAAATCTCTCTACTTAGCTCTGTCGTCAATCTTAGACAAATCTCCCTACTTAACTCTGTCCCAAAAAGCTTTGATACATGTTTGGGCTATTCTTATTGTAATTTATGTAAACGATATTAACGATGGTATGAGCTCTCCCACTCGTCTTTTTACAAATGACTTATCTCTGCATTATTCATCCCCTTATTGTGCTTAATTAGATTTTTGTAATGAGTATTGACCTCTTAAACCTGCATTACTTATCCAAGCAATAGCTCAGAAAAATTGGAAAAAAATACAGTTTAAAGCGGCAAGAATAGTTACATGACTTTCAAAATACACTAGTAGGCAATCTCTATTTTGATACAGGGAGAGAAAATATGCAGTCTAGAAGACAAAGACAAAAATTATTAGTATTTTACAACATTAAAACGTGCCAAACTCCAGACGATCTCCTTAAATTACTCATTTCTCATGTTTCCAAACAAACAAATTATAACTTTGCCGTTCAAATAATATGGTCATTTGCAATTTCAGGCATATTCTACCACATCATCTTGCATACCCGTAACAGGATCTTTATGGTACAATCTCGAACATGATATTTAATGTAGCACGTCACAGCGCTTTGTAAAGTGTTTATGTTCAAATATCAAGTCTAGAAGAAAGAAAAACTAAACAAAACAACGAAAACACGCCATGTGATATTAATCGAACTCTGCATTTTTATCCATACCAGATTACGACATAATGTAAATTCATTAAAAACTGATTTGTACCGTCGTCAACTTGCTGACGCCCCTTTTTGTTCTTTCGATGGGATCGAAACCATCAAGCAGTTCTTCATGTTCTGTCCCAAGCACAGTAGACAAGGAACTGAGTTGATGAGATGTGTGAATTGGATTTTTAACGTTGCTTTTAACAGTTTTTCAGTCATATCGCTACGATGACTGCAGTGTGGTAGTTTATAGTGATGTGTAGCACTGGAACATCATGCCACAGACATGTAGCATGATGTCCCACCCAGTCACATTATCCTGACACCAGGCCGACCAGTTCTAACACTAACTTCTTAATGCTGAGCGTCAAGCGAGGCAGCTGATAGTACCATCTTTGTAAGTTTCTGGTGTGACTCGACCGGGGTTTGAACCCACGACCTCCCGCATCCGAGGCGGACGCTCTAACCACTAGACCACCAGAGCGGTTTTAAGTTGATGAAAAAAATACTTTCAGTATCACATGTAACTATTAGACTGGATTTACTGATTTGGGAAATTGCAATGTAAATGAAAAATATATAATTTTACATTGTATATGGAAATACATAACTGCTACAGGACTATTTCAATAACTTACTCAAATCGTAATTACAGTCATCGTGCCCCCCCCCTCAATCTCCCCTCTCTCTCCCTTTTTTATTATTAGCATGTTGTCGCTTTGAAATTTGTATAATACTTGTATGATGTAGGGAAGAGCTAATTAAAGATTTTAGAGTTTGTGCCCAATCCAGTTGTATCGTACTGTGACAATCTCTTTAAATAAAATAAGAAACTCCCCAAAGTCAATTATTTATCGCTATTGACTTTTTACAGTGGTAGTTAGGAACTAAATTGAGCCAAGGAAAGAGCACGTGAAGTCAAATCACCACGATTTAGTGTAGTAAGATTTTGTCACTGATTAAAATCAGATCTCCGTTGTTTTGTGGGTGAAGGAGAGTGAAGACTTGATACAATCTCACTTTAAATTTTTGATGTCCATAATTGCCACGTACTTTAATATTGATTTGTCGTATTTTCTTCTCGGGGCGTTTGACCATATTCAAAAGGAGCATGGATGTATGATGAACCAAATGTTGTGAATAAATGCATCGCGCGCGCGCGTGTGTGTAAGCAAAGAATTTCTCACATTTTTGTTATGCACGATTTAAAATAATTTCGTTCTTCACTAAATTTATTTTTAAGAAAAGATCGCAGAAATAAAGTAATCACTTCTGCGATATCACGTGTTATATAATATCGCAATAATTCGAAGTCGTCTGCATTCTTGTGCATGGCGCAAATTTTCGTGTGCTTAGCTTGTATTCACTGGATGGAAATAACTTACTAGTTCTGCATGACTAGTCGATCTCGGGGAAAATGCGGGAATTGCTGGACAATATGTACACGATTTTTACAAATGCAACTACGAATATCACTGTGTCCAAACATGGACCTAACCAAATCAAATGGAGTCTATTATCTTTTTAAAATCGATATAACTGGAACAAATCGATTAATTAGTTTGTCGTCCGACAATGTCCAATTAGTTTATATAAGAGTCAGATTACATGATTGAGATATTTGTTTAGCAGTGAATCGAATGTAGCACGTAAGAGTCAAAATGTGAAGTTGGTTAATGTTCTTTTCTGGTAGGTTCAGATGACAAAATGAAGGCCATGGAACTTGCATCCATTTTTCAAGTTGCTTTACAATTTGTGCATAATATGCGACAAGTTTCCAACATTAGGACAAGTATATGTCATTGTATAGATCTGTTTTCGTTATTACTACGATATCAAAGTAACTTCCATTGAATAACTGGCTCGTTTTCCGCATTCATCTGATTGAAGTTGGAAATAAAATTCATTTTATTAAATAGCAAATAACAGATAGACATATAGTGTATGTTGAAGGTAAGTTAGTTCGGGCCTCACAATATGAAATCAGCCTGAATGGCCCTCTCAAATTTATTTTATACCAAAAAGGACCTTTACAACTTCCCATAGCTTGGGGCCTCGCTATGTCTAAATCCGGCACTGAGGTACGTGTATTTATTTACGTATTCGCCGATAGGTAACTTTAAAGATCCGCGATACCATAGCACCTCGATATATTGGTAATTTGTTCGCCGTTCGTTAACTTTAATAGCCACTCTCCCACAGAAGTCCTGGCTATGAATGGAGAATAAATAAGTTCTTAAAGCGTGCGGTCTTCTCCGGGTCGTATCCTCAACATGCTTTGTTGTAGTACTAATATTGGTAACCTTAGCCCTACCTTGTACACAACAAAACAAGTTAAGGCTACGACATCGTAGCTATTCTCCTGCTGTCAAATAAAAAAGCAGACCCACTAAGACAAAAGGTACTAATATTTGTACTATTCTCCGTGTAGCATTTTAAATCACCAAATAAAAACAAATTCTTGTAACAGAGATGCTATTGTTTCGAGTCTGTTAACCCATTCTTGTTTTTTTTTTTTTTCGTAGGGATCCAAATTGGAATACCGAAAAAATTTGGAATCCAGTGTTGTTTGTACTCGTTCTCATGAAATTGTGCGAGCGTGTCTAGCCATATAAATAACCACGCCTCTGGTTTTATTGCTCAAAATAGCCATGGTGTTCTAGATGAATTTTGTGAACCCACTTTGAACGAATATATACATCCTAAAATTTCACTTTTTTATTGTTTCGTTATTAATTAGCAATAAATAATAAATAATAAAAAATATTTATGAGAAGGGAAGAGTGGATTTTTATTATTTGTTACAACATGAAGTTTGATTCCATGTTCGGAAAATTATTTCTAGTTTCATCTTTCCCAAATACGGTGTAAATGTAGAAATATGACTTAGAAATATAACGCTCAGATTGAATGCTCGAGTACATGTCGTTTATTAAATGATATAAATAAGAATATTATATTTGATATAAAAAAAATTCCATGCAATCTGGAAAGTTCTATATTTGATGTACCTGTGAATTCAAGACTTGTTAAGTCCTACCGGAAGATAAACTAATAACGACGAAAAATATACTATCACCGGTTACTTTTAGCCAGCATGCTTGTGCAGCGAGAGGACGCAGAAGGAATGCGTGGACTGGAGGTTAGTAAGATTAGCATGTTGAACATGTTATAAGCTATGTATATTTTCGCTATATGTTATCCACAAAGAACTGAATTTAACATAAATTATTTATATGACAATATTTTCGTGGAAATTAAACCTTTTCCGCATTTGATTTTTTTTTGTAATGTGTTAATGTAGCATCAGGCGTAACACAACATGGGATACAAAATCTAGTGTCATCGTCAGCAATATCTGATTCCGTGTCAGTTCTTGTAAACGTGCTGACACGAAACTGATTAAGAAATTATATTTATTCGTCATTTTTGTTTAATTGACTACTTTTAGTATTTGCAGACGCCAATCAACCGGACACGATGGCATTTCACAAAAAGCGTTAACCACGAATGAGGCAGCTTAATCTTGGGGGAAAAACCAATGCCTAAAGAAAAATAATAACTGCAAATGATAATTATACCTCTGATACTGTAGTTTTTCCGAGCCCAGTCAATCATCATTAACTAGTCGCAAAATTGGTAACTTTTTAAAATATCCCATACTAGCTGCCATGTCGTAGCCTCAATCTGTTTAGGGAGGCTACGAACTGATTCCATATCATGTAATGGATCAAAAACAATCCCCACTAAAGTCAGAAAAACAATTAGTTTAGAAATCTATTACATAAGTATAATCATGCTGTGAAAGAAGTTTGGTTGATATTGAATTTATTAAGCCCTTACAGAAAAAAATTGGCATAGCTCAACCACAGCAGTCTGCAGTTTTTTCAATAAAACAAAATTTCTGACATGAAATCACCTTAACGGTATTATAAAAAAAAACAAAACGAGGAATGCAACTTCACAACCCTCTGCTCGATTGCACATCATTTATACATATCATTAAAAAACTATTGATTTTAAAACTAGCAAAATTTAAAAATGCGGACTGCGTCAATTAGTTGAATTTGCTAACAATTAGGAATGCATCATGAAAATGTTATTTATGGTATTACTATTAATTTTGCAGTCCGCATTAATTTCCCTAGTATTAAAAGAAAACAGTTTCTGCGCCATGTTTTGGAATGATTATTAGACCCTAACGCATATTTTGGTCAACAGAACAGAACTTTTATTTGCTTGAGCAGGAATTTGAATTTATTTTTACAAAAAGGCATCAGACTAAATAAAGTTCACCTAAATCAAGAGGACTTTTATTTTGTAGAAAAGTTTGAATCTGTGCTGCCAGATATGTGAAATTCTTGAAATTTTGGACTGCTATTTCTTATGTTGGAAAATATCAGAACATGCTACACAAGACCTTTGTTTGGGCAGCAAGACCTGGCACAAAACATGAATAACAGTTGATTTGACACTTTTTAAAGTTCCATTTGCTTAAATCTCAGCTGGAATGCAGATAGAAACCAGGAAAAAGAAATTATTTAATAGGATGAGTTTCTTAATAGCAACGAAGCTCTCAAAACCCATAGATAGTAATACCTTTTTATTTAATTTGTAAAAAAAAAAAACGTTCTTCAACTTAATCCCGTTCTGCATACATTTCTTCTTCAGGGGCCTAGACTTTACCAGAGTACTTGCATTCTTTAAACTATACATTTTAATGCAAAACATCTGCATGACCAAGCCATTGCTTGGTTTTCTTTGGGATTTTTTAAAATGGCATCCAACAACAAGCAAATGGCCAGGATGAAAGGGACAATGAACTTCTTAAAAAGTTTGAATAGTACAGAACAGAGAATAAAAGGAAATATTCAGATTTTGAGGATGGGGAAATGAAGGAATTATGCCTTTATTGAACGTCCTGTTTGAGTATTCATATGGCAGAAAGAAGAGTGGTGACAGGAGAAAGAAGAGTGGTGAGAAAGAAGAGTGGTGACATGTCTTTTTTGTTAAGTATTATGTCAAGTTGACAGATGTCAAGAAAAAATTGAGCTCATAGGGTCTGGAATTATTAAGTATAGGAAGTAATTAAGGCTAACAAATAAACTTGGAAAACTTGAGCCGAAGATAATTATCTTTGACATTCAAATCTTGAATTACACTTCAGGACTTCCATGTTTTCCAGCTTGATAATGTGTTGCACCTTACTAAAAAAAACTTGTGCCAAATTTAGAGTTCTTGTTTGGGTTGGCAGACCTTTTGTAGAACAACTCAAGACTCATGGCAGAGCCTTTTCATTTTTCTTACCAACTTCACCATGGAAGGCCTTGGCCAGATTTCTGTACAAATTTTCATGTATTCCCAGGTAGATTTATACACTAGAGTCTCTTGACCAGGTCAAAGAGCAACCCTGTCATTTGGGCAAGTATACTACTAAGACTTACCAGGGTGTTTTTTTTTTTTTTTTTTTTTTTTACAAAGGCT